GCTTCTCCTCTGTTTGCTTCTGCTAGTTTTGTCAGCTTATATTGCCATTTATATTTATTTTGCAGCCTTTTTCGCTCAAAAGTTGCTTTCAGCTTTATTACTGTCTTCTTTCTTGTAGGGTTTGGTGAATAGCGCAGAAAAGAGGGGCTCACTATCTATCTCTAATCCTAATGAGTCTGTTATTCATGAAGCTGCCCCTTCTACATCGAGTAGTGCTTTAGTTAAAAAAACTTCACTGCCTAGTGACTTTAATTATTTTGAATCTTCCTCTACCTCTTCAAATGCCGCGTCTGAATCAGTAAAGATTACATCTGTGGACGGGGTGTGTTTACTTTTATTACTACTATATTAGTTTAGTGTAGGGCTTTTAGAGCTAACGTTTGGAGGTTCAAAAAGGTATCTGAAAATTTTTTTAGAGGAACAAATTGGAGTCCACTGGACCTCCACCAGAACCTCCGGTAGATTACGACGATGAAAAGAAAGGTATTCTTTGCATAGCGTTTATTTATTGCGGCTCTGAATTTGTATTTCATTTCCATTAACTTGCTATAAAATAAATTACGTTTGTTTTAATTTTGGCAACAATGATTCATGTTCATTTTCCAAACTTGATATATTTGGAACCATGACGGTCTTGCTTATCTTACTTCGGTCATCTTTAGTTGTATTAATTTGTATTTTTTCTGTTTCAGCTGCTTTAGAACGGAGAAAGGAGGAGATTGCGGCTAGCAGAAAAACGGTCCTATTTTGATTATGTGTTCTAATTCGAGGATTTCCGTTTTTTTTTCGCTTTAGATTAAGTGATGCAAACTACACTTTTCTGCAATATAGCCGTTGCTTATTATAGAATGTATCTCGAAAAATTCAGGCAGAACACATGGGTTCAAGAAAGTCCCCTCATCGTCAGACAGTTACCAAGAAGACACGAGTTTATATGGTTGATGGCGTTCAGATGACGTCAACTAGTCATCAAGTATTTGGAGTCAAGCAAGACTTTGAATTAAGGTTAAGAAGTTGTGATGTCTTTTGTAATTTTGCGACTTTATTTGTAAGGAACTCGAAGAAGCACTTGTTTTATAGTGACAAATGAAATGAACTTTTGTAAAATTTATTACGGATGGCGATTCTAGGAAGCAGCAGCTGCACGATTTACGGAGAATACAACGGGAGGAGGGACGACAGCAACGGGAGCTTACCGCGAAAGCAGAAGTACTTCGTAATGAACAGGCCAAACGTTTCGCAGTTGAAAAAGATGTCTTCATTTTGAGCCCTCTTTTTTTTCTTTGAACTTTTGTTCTTCCATGGACTAATACTGAACATTCTTTCTGGTTCATTTTTCCCATTGACTTAAATTTTTGTTCTTCTAGTCTATTGTCGATTTAAAAACAAGTTTTTTTCATTTGTAGAACGTGATGAAGAATTCGGAGGTCGAATTGTTAGCCTTGGCAAGAAACCAGAAACGTCAAATGAGAGAAGCAGAGGATTCTCACAACGAAGATATGAAGCAAAGCCTTAAAAAAATTCACGCAGACCAGGTTTTCTTTGATACGTTTATTTTTAGTGTATGAGATTTTAAATATCGTTGTTTTATCCTAGGAGAAAGAATTACGAGGATTTAGAGAAGTTCTTAAATATGAACAAAAGCAACTCAAAATTGAAATTGAAACAGTCCCAAAACTGCAACGAAAGGGAATGCTTCGATTAAGACGTGAACAATTGGAGAAGGATCAGGCAATAAGAGTAACTTTTACCTCATT